AATTTTAAAACATTGCCCTTAAATCCTCAATATTTAGATACAGCAGCTGCTCATTGAGAGCAAGAAAGCATAGCTACCTACATACAAAGCAGTCATTCAAATCCATTTTATTTAGGTTGTGTTTTGGGTCCTTTGCACTTGAAATTAATTAAAATGTGAAGTTCAGCAAACGCACTTATTTTTTCTGTGACCTTTTTTAAGATATTGTGCTTTTCAGTCAATTAGTAGTTTTAAGTGTGGCTATGGTCTTACACATCAATTTAAAATGAAAACCAATCTTTAACTTATTAGGTGAATATCTCTGTGAATATTTGATCTGGAATTGAGACATAAACTTTTAAAATCTTATGACTTGTCCCCGAGTCCTTGAAAAAGCAAAGGGTTGGGCTTGAAGAACTGAATGGTTTTTGAGGTGAATTTTATATAACATAAATTAATATTTGGAGACAAGCCATCCAGGGGCATCAACATATCCAGTGTTGTATAACCACTGCCTCCATCTAGTTCCAGAATTTTTTTTTAACCAGTCCAGTAGATACTGGTTTCCTCAAATTTTTCTTTTCCTCACATTTTCCTAGTACCTAGAAAGCACCGATCTATTTTTCAGATCTAGAAATGCTTCGAAGGATTTCATTGCATATGGTATAGATTTGAGAGCTATTTTCTCAGTATACTTAGCTGCCTCAAACATTTTCAGGTTCTTTTGTCTTGTTTTGCTTTCTTAAAACCACAGGTTAAAAAGAACTTTGAAGGAACATCTTTTGCATCCCTCTTCACTCATTTAAGTTAGTACCTAAATCTGTCTTACAAAGTAACATTTAATTCTGCTGTGAATTTTTATTGTTGTTTGGTTGACTTTTTTGTAGTCTTGGGGATGGAACCCAAGGCCTTGGACATGCTAGGCAAGTGCAGTACTGTTGAGCTATACCTCCAACCCTCTGCTGTGGGTTCTTTGCTGGTATCCGGGATGGAAACCTGTGAGGTCTGTTTGAAACAATCTCTCAATGGTCTATCTCTCTCCATCCGTTCCCGGCTTACAACAGTAATGTGACCTCTTGGCATCTTCTTTTGTGCAGCCTGTTTCCGACAAGCGTGTCACCCTTTCTAATTTGTTTTCAGATTATGCAGATGCTTTGACTATTATATGGATGTCTTAGAAAGACATTATATTGCTGATGACCATTGCACTTTAAGCTTCACAAAATAAAAATATTTCTAACCAAAATTATATATGGATATTCTTATTTAAAATGCATGAGAAAAGTCTGTTGGTTTTCTTTCCTTTTGGATTCAAAGTATTTAAAAGATTTTTACTAATATAATCTTAGTCAACCTCAGATTCAAGAGGGAATGAAGAATGTCCTAATAATATGGAGAGGCTGCCCAAAAATGCCCTGTTTGACTGTGCCTTGCTTACATGAGACTTGCTTGTCTACATGCTAGAGTCTACAGGAAGAGGCATGGCTCTTCCGTCCTGTCACAGGCTTGGTATCATGGCATAGACCTTTCTGAGCCCACCCTTTGAGAACAGATTAAATGGCCCCAAGGTTCATCAACATAGGTTCTCCCAACCGCACTGCCTTCTTCCCCAACTTTCCACCTGCTGCTGGTTACAACACTCTTGCAGGTGGGCTTTCTGATCCAAGTTTTTAACGTTTTTAAAATGTTCTTAGTAATCAGTCTACAAAAATAGAAATTCATGTCACATTTTTAGTGAGGTTTGTGAGATGTGAAGATGTGCCATATACATTTTCCAGGCCACAATAACCTTATAACATTCCACTTTGGGATGTACACTGGGAAGCAAGGACATTTTACTACTCTCAGAAGCAGAATATTTCATTTTAGAAAATTCGAAATATTGTAAACCTTTCTTGTGTATAGAGCAAGAACTATATTTATAAAAGATAGCTGCCTTCTGGAGTTATGCCAGAAAGCTAATTCCTCTTCTATAGTAGTTAGTATAAACATCTTACCTGGGGATCTATTCTTGCAGCATTTGATCATTCATCAAGTATGCATTAAGTGCCTACTATGTTCCAAACACTATTGTTGGTGCTGGGGCTACCGGGGCACAAATGAAAAAAACAACAAACCAAAGAAAGCCTTTGCTTTTATAGAGTTGTGATTCTAGTAGTGAGTGAGGTAATGTTAGGGGGAAAACAATGTTAGGTGGTGATAGATACATAAAGAGACATAATGCAGAGGGTGTTGTCTTAGGCAAGCAGAGCTGATTCACAGCTGCTCAACACAGCGCAGAATTTTGAATCCAAGATTTATTTTAAATTCCAATGAAAGACACAAACCAAATAAAACAAATCCGTGCTTGATCTTTGAATCACAGACATTTGGACATGATTTATATGCCTTCTCATTTCAGAGCATGACGTGGCATCTGGAGACGGCAATGCAGTGAGAGAAGAGATCGTGAAAGGGAATGCTGCTCGGTCCCCTGTGATGAAATGGTTAAACCCACGCTGATCCTAAGTGGGGCTACCAAGTGAAGGCTTTCTAAAAATGTGATCAACACTCAGCCAACATTTTAAGAACTGTCTAGAGCATAGACTATGGACATGTAATTTTTGGAGATCAAATGTGATTCATCGGGAAATCAGAAGAATAGGCTATATACAATGCACAAAAGACATATGACTGAACACTTTTAGATATTTGTTAAATATTTAAATGCATATAGATCTGTTAAACGTGTGTGTATACTATCACCAAGGAACTAAAAGATGATCTTACAAGGGCCAAAACGTGACCTAATCGAAGCTGAAGACCACAGGGAACCCAGGAGTTCTTTGACTTAGATGTACATTCTTGCTGAGATACAGGCAGATAAGGTGCAAGAGTGGGTAGGGATGATGGTAAATGTAGGAAGTGGTAATATCTGATTCTTCCTCATGGTAGCTTCAATAATTTTTTTTAATTTTGCGGAGAGAAAAAAATAGACTAGAAAACCCTTGAAGGAAGTGAGATATTTGAAGCCCATGGGAGTTTGAGTGGTAGCCTTGAATTGAACTACTGCTAAGTAGTTCTCAGGCTATCTGCATCTGACTAGTGGCTCTAAACATACACTCCCATCACTGGTTTAAAGAGTGCTGCCTGTGAGATAGAGCCAGGAAGCATTTTTCCTCCTGGGGGATAGAATGGGGCGAAGGTGAATATTTATATATTTTTATACACAAATATGTTTGTGGAAGTCATTCTCCATACTCATATTTCTCATCGTACTAAAGAATGACCCTAATATTGTTTGTTTAAAATGATTAGAATAAAGGTATAACTCATAAGGTTCTCAAACATCCAGGCATGGAAAGTTATTATTAATAATTACATTAATATTGATAAAAACTTAGTCACTCTGGATTTATAAAACATCAGAAGTGAGCAACAGAAGGAATCTATTCTGTAATGCTATCACTTGGAGGATTTTAAATTTAAAGTAGAAAATGACCTTTTAGAAGCTTTGGGAAAGAGAAGTTAATTTTTATCAGGAAACATGTCAACTTTAAAATATAGTCTATTTTCATTCTTTTATTCTTTCAAACTTGATTAATAAGTGGAACAAAGCATGTGCTTGGGAAGATCTTAGCATAAATAAGATGGTTGTACTAGATGTTAGGAAATATTTGCAGAAGTATTTTATTTGGAATAAAGAACTTATTTAAGAATTATTTCACTATTTACTTATATTTTATTCTCAGAGTTTGCCAATAGAATTGTGAATGTATATGTGGGAAGATCTTTGAATGTAAGCAAAATCAGTTATTAGGTTTTGTTTTAAAAGAACAGTTTATTATTGTTCAATAAAAAAGGACCGCTGTTTTATGTTGACTGATTTCCTTTAATCATTAAATCTTACTTGTTCAATCAATAAGAATGCTAATGTATGTTAAAGGACAAGCTCTGCAACAGAATTTTCTGCTACAGATAAGCTTTTTCTATCAAAACAAGCAACTAAACTATTCATCTTTGGCCTACTAAAATTTCAGATCTTCCAGAAAAGTAGGCCTATATATATGCATCCATTTTACAGAGTTTTACTTCTAGGTTTTAAAAATAAAACTTCTTTCTGTGTCTCTGAATAACAACAAAAACATGATTAGCATATTAATTTAGCTGTAGAGTTAAGTCTTGGGATAGCTTGTAGGTTTCTATGCGATGACTCTTCCACACAACTTAGCACATAGCCTTGTTTTGTTTTTTGTTTCTTCTTTGAAAGTAGCAATTTTTCCATCAAACAGCAATTACATCCTATTCTAGGTTCTGTGAGGAAACCCCAAATAATAAAATATCACCTGGTTGTTAGCTGACTGAAGGTTTACAGTCCTACAAATGTCAGCTTATTTTCCTTTCTGTCAGTTTAGGCATCTATTCATGTTTTCACCAGCAATTAACAATAGTACTTTATCTTTATGTGTTTCCTAACGTTTTCCTTTTGGTTTTTTTGAAAAAGGTCTCCCTGTAGCCCCAGCTGGCCTGGAACTTGCTATGTAGACCAGGTTGACCATGATCTTACAGAGATCTGCCTGCCTTTGCCTCCTGAGTGCTGGAATTAAAGGGATTTGTTGCAATTTTTAAGCATGTAGTTTCAAATATCTATACACTATAATATTAATATATTGCATTTATTCATTGTAAATCATCCATTCAGACTAGACTTTTTTTAATGAGGTAAGAAATATAAATAGAATTTCTGAAATCGCCCGCCCTCCACATTCCAATAAACTATTCTGAGAAACACTGGGGAAAAAACAGTCACATGGCAGTCATTTCTGATGAGACCCATCATCATTTGATATTAGAGAGAAATTAAGCTAATAAAAAAATAAGTATTCCTGGAATGAATGGATGACTAGAGAGCTGAATAGAATGATAGATGCCAAGAAGTACAGATGGACAGAAGGACAAATGGAAGACTTGGAAGGATGGCCGCATGGAAGGGTGAATGGATGGATGCATGGATTCTTGGGTGAATGGGTTTATGCATGGATAGGTGCAGAGATTCATAGGTGGATGAACGGATGGATAAGTAGATGAATGGATGGATGGGTGAGTGGATGGATGAATGGATGGATGGATTGATGGATGGATGAACAGATGGGTGGGAGAAACACATAACAGTCCTTCTATCTCTACTAGAGTAGAAGATTCTTAAGAGGCAGATAACACTTCCTTCCCTTCCCTTTAATCTGTTAACTACTTGCCGCTTGACAGCTTTCCACCCTGCCTGTTGGTACATGAGGTGACTGTAAATACTAGAGGCCCAACTAGAGAGTAAATGATTCAGACACAGAATTTTCATAACAGCACAGACAGGAATTATCTGTTTCTCTCAGGCACTGAGAACATCACCAGTTGTAGCAAAAATTTAAGACAGTTCCAATGGTAGCCTAACTAGACTGCAGTTTCTTTTTTTTTTTTAACTTTAAAAAAATGTATTTTATGTGAATGCATGTATTGCTTGCATGTAGGTAAGTGCACTCATGTTGTGCAATGCCCACGGAGGTCAGAAGAGGCTGTCGGAGTTACAGACAGTTGTTAGCTGCCATGTTGGTGCCGGAATTCAAACCCGGGCCTTCTTCAATAACAACCAGTGTTCTTAACTGCTAAGCCATCTCTCCAGCCCCTGACTGCAGTTTCTTGTACAAAGCAAATTGGGAGGACTCCTGTTTCCACTCTGTGTTTTATTGGATCTCCTTAGAATTAAAGGATTCACAGATGCAATGCAATAGCACACACTATCAGTTATCTTAATCATTTAACTAATGCCTCACTTCAAAAGAGTACATCATGTAGAGTAATGGCTCCCAAGTATTACCATCACTAGACTTACCTGAAGGCTTCAGTAGACCACAGATTGCTGATTCAGTAGGTTTTGAGGTAGGCCCAAGAATGTTCCATTTGAACCACTCCCGTGTGATTCAAGATTCTAGGAACCATACTGCAAGAATCACTGATATAGGGAATTTAGATTTTTTTTTTTTTTGCCTAGAAATGAAATAAGCTAAATTCAAACCAATCACTGTTAGCTTTACAAAAGAATTCATTGCTATATTTCCTAAGTAGTTGTTATACTTCATTTTTTATTTGAATATAGTGTTTAAGAAAGGGGTAGGAAATCAAGTAATTTTAAATTGTGGCAATTGAGTATCATGGCACATGCCTGTAATCCCATAACCTAAGAGGCTGAGGCAAGACGATTTCAAGTTTGAGCCCCTGTCTCAAAAAGAATTTAAGCAACTAAATGAAAATAAAAATCTTGGGGAGATTTTAAGGACAGATAGAAGGAGGGAGATGGAAGGCACAGAGAGACTCAGGAAGGTATGATAAGAGTGGTGACCAGAATAACACAGTGTCTAAGGAGAGAATGGAATGAAGGCCTGTCCAAATTGGCTGAAAACTGCATGATAGGCGAGCACTTTTCAGCATGTTGTCTGGGAAGGACAGAAGATATTTGGCAGCAACAGGAAGAAAGTTTTACTAGAAACTTTTTGTTGTTGTTTCTTTCTGTCCCACCCTCCTCACTATCAGAGCCACCACCCTTCGAAGGGCCAGATTATCAGTGAGAAAAGACAGTGAAGATGGATGCTGATATTTGACCTCTGGACAGCATGAAACCACAGAGTGGTGATCTCAGTGAGATAATGTAGTAGAGTTTGCTGAAGAACAGTGCTATTGAATTGGATTGGACATGGTGGTGCACAACTGAACTCATGGTGCTTGAGAGGCTAAGGCAGGAGGATTGCCATGAGTTTGAGGCCAGTGTGAGCTACATAGTGAGACTCTGCCTCAGATAACAGAACAAAATAAACAAACCAAAAGAGTGCTGATACTGTATCTTAAGTGACAAAACTCACATTACGGTACCATATGGATAACCTAATTTTTGTGCAAAAATATATATGTAGAGAAAAGTCAAAAGATCAGTGATGTTTATTTTCTTTGTATTTTTGTGTATTCTCTGAAATTTTTTAGAGTTAGTTTTTTCATTGCGGAAAAATAATAAAGTCTCCACTTTTGAAACTTTAAACTGCAGCATAAAACAAATTTGTGGTTTACTGCCTAACTGATTATTAAGAATCTAATCTTGGAGGTTAGTGTTAGGGTTAGGGTAAAAAAGAATGTAATCCTGTATTTCAAGAGTTTTGAGATGTGCTTTATTATCTCGGAACTCAATTGTGAAAGTAGAATTTCAATCTGAGTGAATGAGGAGGACTAAAGTTCTGCAAACATTAGAAAGGCTAGAGAACACATTCAGATACTCCATAGCTCGCTGCTGGAGCAGGTACCTGGGAAGCCAGTCTGGGAATCCTCAGAATACATAAAAAAAAAGGTCTCTGGACTTTTAAAATGACAATCTACCTTCTGTACCTATGCTATCTGCTTCAAGCAGGTGACTCAGGCCACCGGGGCTTTAAAAGTATTTCCTGACACCTGTGAAGTTGGTAAATATTTCCTGTTTTTGTTGTGTCTAGAGTAAACAGGAATTAACAACTTGGAAGTGAGTATCAAACATCCATTGTAGATGACTTCTACACAGGCATTTTCCAGTATGAGATATTCATCTTCTTAAAATCTACTATAAAATACTTCTCTTAAGAGAGAAAAACAATTGTCATAATAACCTGATCATGGATTGAATGGTATAAGACAAACCTTATGCTCAGGAAGAACAGCGCTTATATTAGTTGTGTAGATTCTAAATATAAATCCAATTGTAAGCCTTCCAAAGTAAGTGAGACTGAGAAAGCAAGCAAGGAATGAGTATCCCATCAGTGGCTCTGAGCCGACCATATAATTAGCATGTTCAAAAAATATTGTCATCATCTGAAAGTTCTGTGGAAGGACAAGGAGCCTGGAGATTTTGCATCAGAGGGGGTCAGGGTCAACCCGCCATGCCACTTACTAACTAATGACTTCAGGTGTGCTCTTCAGTCTTCA